ACAAAAATGACTCTCCCTCTAGACCAGTGATGGCGAACCTATGGCACGCGTGTCAGAGGTGACATGCGAACTCATTTTTTTGGTTGATTTTTCTTTGTTAAATGGCATTTAAATATATAAAATAAATATCAAAAATATAAATCTTTGTTTTACTATGATTGCAAATATCAAAAAATTTCTATATGTGACACGGCACCAGAGTTAAGTTAGGGTTTTTCAAAATGCTGACACGCCGAGCTCAAAAGGTTCGCCATCACTGCTCTAGACTCTGCATATGGCGAGGTGAGCGGGCTTTGTTGGCCGAGGCACACCAGGAGTTCTCCATGCCTTCCCATTGGATATATGATGTGTTATTGTTGAGTTTGCTACTCTTAAACTTCTCAGTCCAGCTCTGGGTGAGACTATACCTCCAGAAGTGTTGCACATATTTGCAGGAATGCTGGGAAAAGTCTGTATGCTACCTAATAATATTCTATGACTCTAATCACCCAGGAGACACAGCAGGAGGGGCTGGACTGGAGAAGAATAATTGAGGAAGGCTCAGCTGTGGCTCCAGCCCTGGCCCCAACCCAGAGGCTGCACTTAGGAAAGGCTGGGAATGTGTACCTGAGGGCAGGATGTGAGCAGACACGCAGACCCATGCTTTGCCCTTGGCCAAGAGTGCACTGTCTCAGCCTGGCACTAGCTGGACTGGCTTCCTTTCTCTTCCACCCTCTGCCCCTCTGTGCAGGGCAACAAGAATGGAAGGTTCGTGACTTGTAATAAGGAAGCCCACAGGCCAGAGAACAGAGTCCACCAGTCTTTGCAATTCAAACATTCACTGCTTTATCTGCCACCTGTCCCTCCCACAGCAGTGGTCATGCTCTTCTCAACTGAGTGGAGAAAGGGCAGCACAAGTTCCTAATCCCTATAGCGGGCCTTACCCCGGATGTCAACGTCTCCAAGTGAGTCACTGCAGCACCTACAGCCCAAGGTGACAGAGCCACTGGAAAGCCTGACAGGGACGTTGACTTCTGGACACAGGCTTTATCAACATCGATGCTTTGCAGCTTTGGGCCAGAATCTCATCCTTGACTAAATCACCACAGTGCACAGAGTCCTGATTTGCATCTACAAGGCTTGGTGAAATGTGTCTCTTTTTCACTTATTGTGATGGCAGAACATCTAAAGTGTCCTTAAAACTATCACACTGAACTGAGCATGGGAGGGCAAAAGAAGATCTTAAGGAGAAACCTTTGTTTTCCTCTTTTTGAGTCAAAGAATATTATGCCGAAGGGATTGAATGACCACCCCGTGCAACCTACTCATTTCCCAGACAAGAAAAGTATAGCCCAGAGAACAGATGGGCTGCCTCCCCTAGTCAGATGGGGCTTAAAAAATATATATGTATATTATAAATACACACGTGTATTTTTTCCCCATGAGCTTCAGTGAAAGTGATCAGTGTCATCTCATTCCTGGCTTCTCAAGTCCAGATCCAGCCAAATCTAACTATTGTTCATAGCTCAAATATACCTCATACTTTCTTACCTCCACATCATGTCCCCCATCTCTTGGAATGCCATACTCCACCTCTTCACCTTCTCCCCCAACTTCCATCTTTTGAAATAGTTTTCATTTATTGGTGATTAGCTCAAATATACCATCTCCTGGGTAAAAAATTCTCTGCCAAATAAAATTTCTTTTGTCCACAACTATAACAACACTTACAAACTACCTATTATGAACCATGCAGCTGGCTTATATTTGATCTCATTTAGTCCTTAAAATAACCAAATGAGATTGATACTATCTGTAGTCACATTTTATAAATGAGGAAACCAAGGCACAGGGAGGTTAAGTCACTTGTCCAGCGTCACTCAGCTAGGAAGTGTTTTTGATGGTTTCTTATAAATATACTATGTATTATCATTATGCTGATGAGCAAAGACAACTAGATTTTAATAGGGTATTTTTTAGACAAACAAACAAATGAAAACTGATTAATATATAGAGATTAAAACCATTTAGCTAATGGGCACAGAATTCCTGAATTTTCAAACCTTCTCTTGGTCCAAATTTGGTTAAAAGTATAAGACACTGTTACTTGAATTTAATTTCAAGAGGTGGGCATGTAGGAAGTGTGCTGGAGACTGTTCTTTCAGGACAAAGTCCACTGACTGTGGATGAGTCCTGCACCTCTTACCTGACATCTGCTACACCTGTTCAGGGTGAAATAGTTGTTGCACAGTACACAGGAGGCAGACCTGCCCTACCTAGTGGGGATTTAACCCGGGCCCCGGACTTGCATACAATGTTTGAGTATGTGTGCATTTTTCTAGAGATAGGTTTCATAATGTTTGCCAGATTCCCCAAGGAGTCTATAAATAGCATTCATAAGAATGGTCGTCTCTGTTTCAGAGGTATTGTGGGACATTTCTGAAAGGATGAGAAGAGTCTGTGGTAGGGTAGAATTGTTTTCTTGGACTTAAACAAAACATTTATTCCTTCTGGAGAGTGTGGGTTTGATGAGAGGGTGTCCCTAGATGTTAATGGTGCCATTGTCCTTAAAGCATTCAAGCTCAGGACCTTGAGAGATGTTGCCATCCCTCCCCCGGCATCCGACAGCTGATGAATCTGTCTTTAATAAATGAAGTAACTTATCCAAAGCCACACAGTTCAGAGCTGGGATAAATGAGAGTCCAGTTCTCATTCTCTTTCATGACCCCTCCACATTTGTTCAAATTACACCCTATTAAAATGATGACAGTTACAAGGAAGGGTCCCCACAAAAAACCAACATCCACACAAGACCCGTGGAAGCAATGCTTTGTCATCTGGTTCCAGGGAATTTTATACAAGAAATTACCCTCTTCTAATACTTTCTCTGGTCCCCAGCTTTTCAACATTGTTACTGTAAGAAAAGAACTGAGTGAATGCTAACTAGACTTATTGTGGTGATCATTTTGCAATATATTATAAACAAGTGTTAAATCATTATACTAGTATTATGCATCCCCAACTATATAATATTTATATGCCAATAATATCTAAAAAACTTTAAAAAGAATTGACTCGTGTACTTTTCCCATCAAAGATGGAGAAAGGAGAATTAAACTGACCTACTGTCTGTGTTCTAATTTTTTTTCTTGCCACTAAATACCTTTCAGTCTTCATTTTCCCTCCTTTCTATCTTAATACCTCAGATCGCCAGCACCAGGACACCAGAAGGTAAAAGATGGTGTAAGCATGAGAGTTTTACTCTCCTAGGATAGTAATAATTACAGTGTCACAGTGTGTTAGAATCCATGTAGTGCAAATATCTCATTTGAACCTAAAGCACATCTATACAGGAGCCAGGAATTATAATTTTCATTTTACACATGATGAAACTAGAGTTTTCTGAAAAGCAGACAGTCCCCCTGAGCAGAATAGCAACAGCTTTTGTCTAACTCTGGATTTTATCAACCTTTATTTTAGTTTGGTAAATATGGGGACCAAAGTCTTTGGGAGATCCCAAATGCAGGACCCCCAGTTAATTAACTAGATGTATTTATTCATTTTGCTAATTATATATGCATTCTAAGAGACAGATGCAGGTATTCACATTACCATCTTTTCTGTCTGGTTATCTGAAAGCATGTAGTTTGGCTCTTAACTGGGAGAAAACAGGTGCAGAGTGAAGGTGATTTGTCTTTTCCCACTAAGTGCAAAGTTATACCAAAGAGAACTAGCCCTCCACATTGTGAAAATGTTCTTCCTAGGTCATGTTAATTTTAACACAATGTTACCATAATGAAGCAGCATATTTAACTCTTAAGTATTTTTTTTTATAACAATGCTCTTTATGTGCAAAGTAAATTCTGATAGCATCCCCAATAGAGTCTTTCCTCCTTTTTAAAATAAAGAATTTCAAGAGCAGAATGACAGCGTTTTAATAAATAACAACAACAAGACAAAGAGCGGGATTTCTAACATCTTTACCACGAATAAGCTCCATTTCCTAGTTGCTTACCCTGTAAAAGAATTCCAGTTTTTTTTTTTAACATATCATCCGTACTCCATATTGTGTGTTCACCACCCCAAAGTCAAGTCTCTGACTATCACCATTCATCCCTCCTCCACCTTCCCTCATCCCGCCAAAATCCAGTTTTTAAGAGGGCAAAGGTACTTAGAAATCTAAAATAATTCTGGCCCTCAAAAATTCTTAAGAAATTAGAGATACTTTGAAATCTAAAATAGTGCTAAATATCAATGATTAGAAAATTCCTCCTTTTTATGATCATTTTACGTTGGTAAACAACTCGTCTCAGTTCTCTTCTTAAACATCACTATTCCTAAGCTGAATCAAGAAAGTGCTGGTGTGTTGCCTGCTTTTGCCCATGAGACACTTGTCATTTTGAAAGACCCCCCAGGGCAAATCTTGAGTGAAGAGATGAGAGTTGAAGGGAATCTTACAAGGAATCAGCCTAATCTTCTATTCTGGGTAGTACTGTCATTTGCAATATATCCGAGAGGAAACCAAGCAGTATCTATTAGAATATGGCCAACGACAGGGAGCTCACTACTTCACACAGTGGTCGACCCTTCCTTTCAGCAACCCTCATCGTTTTATATTTATTCCATGTTTTGAGTAAAAATCTACCTCCTCTTAACTTTTGCCCGGACCTGACTCCTGTGTGGCACAAAGTCTCCTCTTGTGCCACGTATGCGTTCTGAAGACTTGATTCCTTGCTTCGAACTTTTGTTTTTCAGATGACATGCCTCCGTTTCTTTCATTTGTTTCCCTGTATCGGAGTTTCAGGTCCATCAATATCGCCCTTTCCTAAGGGGCGTCATTCTCCTCTCCATCTGTTATCATTCACTAGCCTCCCTTTTAAACGTGAACTCAAAATGTATGCACCTTTGGTAACATTCAGAAATCACTGTTGCCAAGAACTGTCTCTTGCTTTACACACCAGCGCCCTTTAGCTCATTGCACCCTCTTTCAGTGACAAGGGGCCTGTGGTCTGCGGACCTACCTTTGCCAAGGTCTCATCATCCAGGTGGTTCTTCTGAATCACATGTTGAAGTGCAAAATAAATCTTTTCCTGAAGCTTCTGGACCTTCCTTGGTTCTATCAGCCAGGCTCGGTCTGACAGCAGAAAAGAATGGTAAGAAGGGGTGGGAACGTAAGCTTGGCTTTATTTCACCTGCATATACAAGTGCTGAGTTTCAGAACCCACTTCAAATTTGTTCTGAATTGCTTCTGAAGTCATGTAATTTTTTATAGTGAACATAAATGTTTTATAAGCAATTCCATGATGACAGGAATGCACAATAGATTGACATAGGAAACCAGAATGCACTAAGGACCCAATGGTTAAGTAAAGTCCAGTCTTGCCTATGAAGGTACACTTTGACATGTCATTCTAGCTATACCTACCAATAATACCAGCCTCTACACTTTTTATCCATTAAGGCTTATTTATTTCTTTTTTAAATGGACAAAGTGACAAATATTTACTTCTGGTAGCAAACAAATGCCAAATAGTTTTCTTCCTACCATTTACTCACTGCATTTGATTATGCCCATAGAGTGTAGTGCGATGGAATATTAATTCTAAGCCTGTGGGTCTATGATGAGGGAGGTGGTTTTACCTCAATGCCTATTTGCTGGAAGGAAGTGTAACAGAATGATAACATCGCTTATAAAAGGGAAAGGCGGTTTGTATTGTCTCATTTAATCCTCACATAAGCATAAAATCAATTTTAAAAATTTAATCCTGAGTCCTCTTTTTCTATAATGAATTTTTAAAAGGTGAATAGGATAAGCCCTCTCTTCCTCCTTTCTTTCCTTTTTACTCCTTCCTCCCTCTTTTCATTCCATTCTTCCCTCCCTCTCTCCCTCCTTCCTTCCTTTCTTCCTAGAAGCTCTAGACACCATGGTGACAAAATTCAGCCCAGCATCAATGCCTTAGGTTGGAACTTCAATGGAGAGACACCTAGAGTCTCCAAATGCTGAAAAATACTCATGGAAAAGAACCTGGACATGATCCTTCTGAACACAGTTCAGGTCAGGTGAGAAACTCGATTCTGTAATCCTAGACAGGGCAAGAACAAGTCTAGCCAACAGTGAAGCAAACCCTTACGTAAGTGAGCACAAAAGCCTTCAGTTGACAATTGTCAATCAGAATAAATTAAGTCTCTCTCCCTCACCCCTCTCAACTCTCTGGAGTTGAATAGACAGTGGTCATTATGGCAAGAACCTTGGGGGCGGGAGGGGTGTCTGGCATGAGATGGAGCCTTCGTAGTCTGGAAATCTATCTTCTCTTCTATTATGGCACTAGGCCAGAGTGGCAAACCAGGTATTTGGAGTAGCTAAAGCCTCTGAGTGTGGGTCTGTTACCAGAGTTGGAATTGGAAGATTCCCCACGAGGTAGAGTAAGCCAAATATAGTGCTTCCAAGCTCAGCAGAATTTGATGGCCATTCTAGAGAACGGCCTATGGTTCAGCTGACTCCTAACTCATAAGGTACAGGCTTGCCTTCCTGTGGAAGAGTTATCTTTAAGGATTGATAAATCATGTCTTAAGTATTTGCTGTTAGGAATTTACTGACTTGCCACAAACATACCTAAAGAGGACAGTGAGTTCTGTAACACTTCCTTCCAGCAAGCAGGCATCCGAGGTAAAACCACCTCCCTCATCATAGACCCACAGGCTTAGAATTAATATTCTATCGCTCTACACTCTATGGGCATAATCAAATGCAGTGAGTAAATGGTAGGAGGAAACTATTTGGAATTTGTTTGCTACCGGAAGTAAATATTTGTCACTTTTTCCATTTAAAAAAGAAATAAATAAGCCTTAATGGATAAAAAGTGTAGAGACTGGTATTATTGGTAGGTATAGCTAGAATGACATGTCAAAGTGTACCTTCATAGGCAAGACTGATTTTTTCCTGCCTCTATGAGAAAATACATTAGGGTATAAGAAAAAAAAGATCTAGTCTCTAGAAATAAATGGGTTATTGAAGGAATGAGTCTCTTGACAGTAAAAGTTAGCAGGAATGTGTCTTTTAGTAGAGAACTATCAACGACACTGCTATCCAAATCTAACTGTACAGGCAGCTGAGTGAGTGACTCTGAATTCTCATTCCTGTTGAAGAAGAAGCCAGGTATGGATTAGGATATTATCCTTTTTCAGGCTGGCATATATTTTTAAAAAGAATCTCAACTGCTACAGTTCTATGTGATCTATAAATGTCACACCTTACCTTCTTTGAAAACTTGTTGCCATGTTACTGCATTTTAGAGTTAGATGAGGTCTTTATTATGAAGCCCAACCCTCTTACTTTATAGATGAGGAAACTGAGACTCTGAGAGGGCAAGTGTACAAGGTCACACAGGTAAATGGTGGCAGAGCCTGTACTAGAATGTCTCTGCCACATCAGAGATGCTTCCTTTTCTGGTCTTAATAGGAGGCATTTTTCCTCTGCTGTCCTTACCTTCTTTTAAATTCTCTAATGTGGCAAAGAAAAAAAAAGAAAAGGATCCAGCATTTGCTTGCAATGAGCACACCCACTTACCATGGGTGGATAAGCCAGAGGAAAAGGTATTTAAAGAGGAGAAAGTGTATGCTGTACTTAACGCTGGATCTTGCATTCAGGCATATTTCTTTTGAGTTTCATCTTACTGGACAATTTTTCAACTATGTCCTTTATTTTAAAAATCAAAATGGAACTTAGTTATAACAAGTCACTATCAGTTTTTATTTGCTTGTTAAAGAATAATTTGGCTCTTCTGAATCTGGAATGACCCTTACCACATGCTCTACTCTTACTTTTGAGACAAAACCGGTCGCTCGATTTAACTTCAAACTACTTTCCTTTGGATTGTCCAAAAATATCACAAGCTTGCTAAAGAACATATGGTTCTTTTAAAGTTTCTCTTGAGCACCTTGGCTGAGGTAGGTGTCATCCATGTGAAAGATAATAAAACAGGTTAAAAAGAAAAGGTAAAGACCTCAGCCTTCCCTACCTGGAGATATCAGAACAGCAGATGAGAACAAAGCAATCTCCTCCTCAGTCAGCTGCAAGGAGCACAGATTCTTTGCAAAGTCAAATGCTTCATTCACTAGGTCATCAGAACCTATAAAAGAAGGCAAGTCAATGAAAATACTTGATTGGAATGGGCAATAGTAAGAAAAGTTATTCAAGATTTTACCTAGTAGGCACGTGGAAAAAATATTTCCAAGTTGCTATCCATAAAAAGTGATTTAGTAGTAATTATAGATGAGGAATCCAGGCAACATCTTGACCAGGTAATGAAAGTTAATATTACCAGTGAGGGGCAGATGGAAATGGTGTGTGGCCATTGTAATATCCAAGTGGGAATACATGGCATGAGCCTAACTGTATAAGCTTGAAATTAGTTTCAACTAAAACAATTTAAATAAGTGATTTGGGGCTCCTTTAGTATAGCTACAGCATTCATAGAAAACCTAAAACATTATGTATAAGGGGCTGAGGGCTATCAGTCATGGTGGCACTTGAACCTGGTAGTGTACGGTGAGCAGGGGCCTTGAACTGAGATGTTAAAAATCAATAGAACAGAGATGAGTTATCTTTCAATTTGGTAACTTCCCTGGAAATTTGAGGAATAAGCATTCATTTATTTTTATCGTCTAATGAATGATTTGCAGGTCAGTTGGTTAGCCACTGTGAATTTTGGCAAAATAATGCTTCACCCCTACACTGACCCTGGGTAAATGTTTATTTTATGAAGCTGGAAATATCCCCAAGTCGCTTGCCAAGGCTTTTCCTCCTTTCTTGAAAATCTAGCCTTGGAGATGATATGGACGTGTATCAGCTGCAGAAGGAAACACTGCCAGCCCTGATGGTGCTGCTGCCTACTGTATCACCTAACAGCACAACAGGTCAAAGGGCAGCGGCCTTCTTGGATGTCCGTGGGCAGGATGTGGAACAAATGGTACGGTCAATCGTTAAAACTTTTCCTGGCATTAGCCCATCTTTGCTAATGTTCTTCTTATCCATGCCGTGCACCCATGACTAGATGTGAATGATACACAGACTTCCAGAGGCTGACTCTGAGCCCTCCCTGAGCCTGGACTGGGGGTCATTTTGGGCAGGTTGACACCCACTCTACCTGTGGTCCCAGACTTCATAAATTAACAGGACGAGTGTTACTTCTCAGAATGAGAAACAAATGAAGGAGCTCCTCTCTTAAGTATCTTAACTAATGATTATGACTCTACATTAAAATGTAAGAGGTCACTCATGGATCACCAGTGGTCTACATAATATACTTTGTGAAGCAGTAAGCTAGAAGGTATAGAAAAGCTGATTCTATAAAGAATGACCTATAATGCAGCCCAGATCTTTTAGAAACAGTCTTCATTGATTTCTGAATGAGTCCTGGTCAGTCCCAATAGGTCCACAGTTTTCTCCTTCCATTCATATTTGGATGCATAGTTATAAGATCTCAAGAGTTAGATAAAACACTGGAGGCTCACCTAGTCCAACCCTTATTGGAAGTGGGATACTATGGCCGGCCGGCGTGGCTCAGTGGTTGAGCATTGACCTATGAACCTGGAGGTCTCAGTTTGACTCCGGGTCAGGCCATATTTCCTAGTTGTGGGCTTGATCCCCAGTGTGGGGCAGGCAGCTGATCAATGATTGACTCTCATCATTGATGTTTCTATCTCCCTCTCCCTTCCTCTCTGAAATCAATAAAAATATTTTTTTTAAAAAGAAAGTGGGATACTAGTTCACATTAAAGAAGGTATTTTATTTACCAACTGCAAGCTTAGTAGAGAAATGGTTGGTAGCTAATAAAATTATGTCATCATCAAAGGTAAACTTACCTAAGGCTTTGAACATTTGCATTCCTCCATATTTTCCTTCAAACAGAACAGTGTTGTTTAATGGGTTGAAGGCACGGCACATTCTCACTAAAACCACTTCTAAGCAACCTATGAGAAAAAACAATAACTATGTATAATATATATAGTCATAAAGAGGTTGTTACTTCATATAGGTCAAGAGACTTTCAAAAACTTTAAAACATGCAAGACATATAGACACATATACAGAAATCCTTCAAGATTCCTTCCCAAGTAAAAAATACCTATTTTTGAAATATAGCTCTCTTGACACTGTGTGAGGAATTAAAGATAAAATACACTTAAAAGGTGGCTGAAATGGAGGGAAGAAACAACATTTTTTAAAGCTATATTTCTTTTTTTTTAAAAAAAGAATATATTTTATTGATTTTTTTACAGAGAGGAAGGGAGAGGGATAGAGTTAGAAACATCAATGAGAGAGAAACATCCATCAGCTGCCTCCTGCACACCCCTACTGGGGATGTGCCCACAACCAAGGTACGTGCCCTTGACCAGAATCAAACCTGGGACCCTTCAGTCCGCAGGCCGATGCTCTATCCACTGAGCCAAACCAGTTAGAGCTAAAGCTATATTTCTTTCTATTTTTTGACTAATATTGAAGTTGGTTTCAACTCTTGAATTCACAAGTGATGGTAAGTGACCTAGAAAGGAGCTTTGCGGCAGGCAAGCCCGGGCTGTTAACTTTTGTACCAGTTTTGATATTGGGAAAACTAGCTGTCTGCTTCCGTTTTTGCATACTCCATGTATATTTTAGCACATGATGACTTTAAGCAGGGACTCCCTCAGTGTGTTGTTTGGGGCACCATTATATCTGATGTTCTTTGAAGTGAGGGTTTCTTTGGTCAAATAAGTTTTGGCAAAATGCTGAATATGTTCTCTCTCCAGAGATAAATGGGTTATGGAAGGAATGAGTCTGAACCATCACAGATCAAATGTTTGGAAACATCCCAACATGAAGGACCTTGTTCAACCTTGAGGGACCTCGCATTTCTCTGACTTCGCTCCTAGCCCACCGAGGACAGGACCCGTGTCTGCAGCCATAGGCAGCTACGGTTATTTTATTCACTCAATATATGTCCATGACCTAAAAAGGCTCTGGCGCATAATAGTTGCTTAATACATATTTATTGAATGAATTAGTTTACTACCTTTACCCCCCTACCCCCCAACATTTATTGACATCCTGAGGAACTATATTGCTGCAGTTTCTCCACATTTGGGAGAAATGGGATTTTGCCCCATAGACTGTTGGAAGGTGATAGCCATACTCAGAAGCCACAAATTTGCATGAGGGCATCACATGGGTAATTTGGCCACTCTCAGTGGTGTACCCAAGGGTACCCATAGTGCCTTTCTTATGCGGCTGCTTTATATTTATGCCTGTGTTTTGTTTCTTTTGTTCTGCTGATTTCTCTTTGCTGTCCCTCATAGGTCACCTGGAATAGGGGCTTGCACATAAGAGGGGTTTTGCAAATGTCAATCAAAGCAATGCTTTTCTAACAAAAACAATAGGTACCATTTATCGAATATCTACAATGTGGAAGGCACTTTCCATGGCCCCTTACATTCATTATTTTATTTGCTCCTTATAATACCATGTCAGATAAGTTTAAAAAATTTTTGTTGTTGTTGTTAATTCTCACCCGAGGATATTTTCCCAATGATCTTTTAGAGAGAGTGGAAGAGAGTGAAAAAGACAGAGAGAAATATCGGGAAAGACAGAGAGCAACATCGATGTGAGAGAAACACATCTTGCACGTGCCCTGACCAGGGCCTGGGCTGGGGAGGAGCCTGCAACCAAGGTATTGAACCCTTGGTTGTGCCCTTGACCGGAATTGAACCCAGGACCCTTTGGTCCATAGGCCAAAGCTCTATCCACTGAGCCAAATCAGATAGGGCTCAGGTAAGTTTTATTAGCTCCTTTCTGTGGATAAGTTACAGGAGGCTCAAAGAGGTTAAATACTCTACCTTTTATATTAAAGTCAACATTTTTCCAGCAGGCAGAGATGATAAAAATTATATGGTCAAATGGTTCCCAAATGTCAGTCCATGGACCAGTTATGTCTGAGACTTACTAAAAAATACAATGGACTGGATTCCCCTCTAGGAGATTCTGATTTCCTGGGCCTCAGATGATGCCCATGACTCAGAACAGTCAGTAAGCTCCTCTGATGCAATTCCACCTTTAGAATCCATTCTTTCTAGTCCATCTCTTTACAAACAAGGAAGCTTTCATCTAGAGAGGATACCTCAAAGTCACATATCAACTGTGGTGGATTTTGTTTTTCAAAGAAAGTCATGAAAATATCTTCCATTCCACTTGCTTTTCTAGAACCTTACCACTCCCCCATCAAGAAGTAGAATCTGTGTCTCCTACCCTTGAACCCAGGTGGACCTTCATGACTGACTCCAGTAATACCTTCTGAAGCCAAGTCAGAGAAATGCTAGGTACTTCTGTCTTGTTCTCTTGGAATGCTAGCTTTTGGAACCTAGTAACCGTGCTGTGAGAAAGTCCAAGCAGCCTGTGGAAAGGCTCACGTGGATAAGAACTGAGGCGCCCAGCCCAGAGCCTTGGTTGAATTCTGGGCTGTCAACCAGCACAAATTGCCAGCCATGTGAGTTAACCAATTTGAAAATGGATTCCCCCACTGCCCCCCATCAGGTTGCTTCAGTGAGCAGGACAAGCCATCCCTGCTGAGCCTTGCTCAAATTGTAGCTTTGGGAGAGCCAAATAAATGATTGTTGCCATTTGAACTAGTTTTGGGGTTGTTTTTACACAGCAATAGGGTAATCAAGTTAATGTTTGAGGCAAGATTCACATCAACCTGAACCATTTGGTAAAGAAGCAGCAACTTAAAATAACTTAGAATTCTATGTGAATTCTAAGTTCAAATGCCAGCTTTGCTGTATATTGGCTTTGTGATATTGAACACTTGAGTCATATTGAGCCCTTCACTTCTATGAACCTTCACTTCCTCTTTTATAAAATGGAAATAATACCGACCTCATAAGATTAAATAAGATGTCAGAGGTAAGCATAAACATATATATGTATGTTATTATAGATATAAGAGTACATTATTATTACTATGGTCTAGACCAGTGGTCGGCAAACTGCGGCTCTCGAGCCACATGCAACTCTTTGGCCCCTTGAGTGTGGCTCTTCCTAAGCCTTAGGAGTACCCTAATTAAGTTAATAACAATGTACCTACCTATATAGTTTAAGTTTAAAAAATTTGGCTCTCAAAAGAAATTTCAATCGTTGTACTGTTGATATTTGGCTCTGTTGACTAATGAGTTTGCCAACCACTGGTCTAGACCATGAATGTTAACATATACACCATGGTGGTTCTTATCTTCTATTTTCAAATAGGACCAAGAAAGACAAATAATTTTTTTCCTGTTTGCGTAATAGTATCTGCAAAGTCAATCATGTGCAGTTTCTTAAGCTACCTCCTCATTGTGTGTGTGTCAGAGTATGTGAGAGAAGGAGGAGGGAATGAGGAGAGCTCAGTGGAGATTCTCCCGGTGTATTCTGGCTGCAGGCTATCCTCATTAAAATGATTGGAAATGACCACAGAGGCAGAGCTCAGCTAGCCTGGATTCCCCCCCACCCCCCAACAGAAGGCAAGTAGTACATTTTAGAGCCAGCTCAGCAATTCAGCCACCTTGACACGCTAATTACTTGCACTGCCTGTCAAGCTGGGTATCTCAACCTTTGCAATTAATAGCTCTACTTTCAATAAGCAAAATTGTATTTGACTTCAAAGGGGGAACTGAGTGAGTATCAGGGTATTTTTATTGCTGAGAGTTTCCTTTGGGAGTTGGCTGACAGTGTGGGTGGTAAAAACGAGGTACATGTTGGAAGGAGGATTTTCTAGAACCAACATTGAGCTCAGGGTCAACCACATCCTGGTCTAAACTAGCCCCACCCCATGCATCTCTGCCTTGCTTACCTGACTTCAGAAGTAGAATCTGATCGTTTTGACAGAGTTCCATGAAGCCTGTTATCCGCTTTGCAAACTCTACCACGTACTGGATGGCGTGAGTGATCTGGATGGCACATTGCTGCCATAGTGCTTCCCTGGACTTCAAGAGAGAAAAGACAGAATGTACGTGGAATAAAGGGCAACTGGGAGAGTCAATGAAATACAATGAAATACTCAGGGTTGCCCTGCTGTGCTTATCTGTCACTGAGGGACCAAGGGGGGAATTTACCGGATTCCTTTAAAAGAAGTGGGCAATATTTTCTAAGATATTATTTTGACCTGTTTGAACCTTGATATGCCACAATGATCAAAGTACTGAGTCTAGAATCATGGAAACATTGCAAGAGCATGTAAAGATAGTTATTTATAGTTTCTTTATCCTTTCCCCCTTCTTGTCCTCCATCACTTCACTTAAATAAACTCAAGCGCTTAGTCCATTTTGTAAAAACAAACTCTTGCACTGAGGAATATGAATTTCATCCATAGGCTTTTATAAGGTTATAAGAGCCTTATTTTCATGTATACCTGATGGATACTAAACTTGTTATATTGTTTTTTGTGTTCTTTTCCCAGAACTTACAGAGATTTTTTTTGTATAAAATTAATTTTAAGGGAAAAGATATCAAATCAAATTGCTCTCTTAAGTAATACAGAAACCCAGAAATGTATTTTGATCTCTGGGTTATTTACTTTGGAATGGGAAACATAAATCTGACTGTATTAATTCCGGTTTTCATTGAGCATAACTATACTTTTGTCTTCTTATTTATATAAAAGTGATAAGATTTCATTGTTCCAATATATGTTATAGTCAAATATTGAGAAACAGGCAGATTTAGACATTTAATTAAAATTTCATTTATTGGTAGCTCTTATAATTGAGGATCTCAATCTCAAAGACATTTCGATTGTCATACTTGTGTGTGAGGGGGTGCTACTGTGGGTAGAGACTAGGGACGCTGCTAGACATCCTACAATGCACAGGACAGTCCCTACAGCAAAGAATTGTCCAGCCCAAAATGTCCATACTTGTGAAGTTGAGAAAGCCAGAAATAGAGAAACTACAGGAAAACTTTCCTGTAGTTTTCCAGAGTACCTTGCTTTGATACGCTTTAATTTCTTCATAGGTGTGGGTCTGCCACGCCAGCTGGTGTAGCTCCTCCATGGTGTATTGACATGTCTCCAAGTGGGACTTAATGATGTTCTGTGCAATTCGATCTATGAGAAAGGATATCAATTGATTGGAGGGTTTGTAAATGAAATTCCACTCTGCTCAAAGAAACCTGCTCTTAATGTGTTGACAATTGGAATGCCTTTGGGAGGTACTCCAATTGTATGAGAGCGTTTTTAACACGACTATCTATTTTAAAATCTTCAGACAAACTCTTTATTGCCTATTTGTAATTTTCAGCCTTTTAATCAAAATTTACTGCCTTTTCCTTCTCTGATTGATCACACACCAGGGTCTTACAAGTTGTAAAGTGTTCAAATAATTAGTTATTTAAAGAATAAATACAAATTATCATGTCTCTTGCTTTTGACTTAAAATCCCACTAACAGTCTTGACATTTATACTCCAAATACTTTAAAATATTTGAAAACTGTGGACCTCCCATTGTTTAGCTCAGAAAGGGGGAATTAATAAATATATTTGCTCATATTTTAAGAAGGAAAGGATTAAGCAATAATCTAAAATAAAAACAACAGTTTTCTGTGGAAGAAGGAGAATAGATAGAGGGACAGGGATAGAAGCTAGACTTCTCTGATGACATTATTTTTGTGGATTTGACTTTGGAACCATGTGGATATCTTACATAATTAATAAGAGGAGAGGTCTTATAGATGAAATAGCAGGACTCATGGATTGATAATTATTGACGTTGGGTCATAGGGGCATTATATTCTCCTTTCTAATTTTTTATATGATGAAATGTTTCTTTAAAAGAGTTAAAAAAGATAAAATGATTATATTCATAAAAAAGGTAGTAACAAACATAATCAGACTTTGGGGCCATTTATCCCAAGTGAGTTGTAGTTGGTATTGTATCTTAAATACTGATGATTTGGGGTTTGGAGATATGAAATTTGAGTGATAGAACCAGACAGAAGAGCTCTCCTTAAAAACCTATTATCAATCCCCTGAAGTTGGACAGAGCTGGTAAGAGGTTCCCTCATAATTCCATCTGCTGTTGGAACACATGAACAAGGCAATATCTCAGAATATTGTCCAAATTACATGGGAGTTCTGTATATGGGGTGTGAGCAGAATGAAGATAACTGGTTTTTAGCCTGTTGAGTGTTCTTTGCTCATACAGAAATGGGATTTTTCTTGTGTTTCAGGTTGTGCCATTTCAAATGTAACTTCTGTGACAGTTTGTTTTTCTAAATAGATATTTTTTATTTCTCCAAGATAACTCTCAAAGCAGTATTTAGGTAACTTCTTTGGCCTTGCTAAGCTTCTGGTATATATGGTGTGAAATAAAGTTTTAGTGATGATGAGAGAGAAACTTCTAATGAACTTCCCAAATTAAAAAAAAATATAGCCCATTGCCTGGCACATTATAAACACTGAATAAATAAATTACCATTCTTAGGACTTTTATATAGTTTGTCATTGGGGAAGCAGTGTGATGACTTCAATGGAAACAAAGCAGAGAGATTTCGTTTTGGAACCACTGCTGCACTGAAGGAAGAAATTTCAATATTTACTAGATTTTTTCAATCAGAACTATAAAGTGGTAGATGTAGAAAATACTGCGAATGCTAACTTATGATTATAGTTATGCTCTATCGGATTCAGCATTAAACATTTTTAGACTTTCACTGCTTATTATCTTATAAAATACTTTCTTTAAAAATCCTATGCTTAAAATTTTATTGAATATCCTCCTATATTGTAAAAAATGGCAGGAATAACTCTATACATCATATTAAAATAGATTGGTATGTCATGGTTCACCATTTTTCAATTTCACTTGGGCAGTTTAATTACTTAGAGTCTAAAAAAGCACGTATCTATTCCTCAACAGGTATATAATGAAAACATAGATTTTTATAGCTCTTTAGTTTTCAAACCTTTATCTTCTTAGCATAGTTTGTTTTCATCTTCAAAGATATGCTGATTTGTTAGCTAAAATTTACAGGCTTCAGGGTTAATGAGCAAAACTACAATTGCTGTTCAAAATTGCATTATGAAAAACTCTTTACCTATTCCTTAAGGCACATTCTAGAAATTGTTGGCTGAAGTTTTAGAAATATTTGGTCTTCTACCACCAAAGCTTAGGGTTTATGGTGCATGAGGAGGAGTGGGCCTAATAAACAGATGGGCAGGTGAAGCAGAATTGGAAGTTAAAGCCACATGCATGCTTTAGCACTCGGCTCAGATGTCCATTCCTGGTGAAGGTGTCCAGCTTCTCTGTGTCCTCGTGTAGCAGGGCCAGCTGCCATTGCACTTTGATTCTACCTCCAATTAAACCCTTAATCTAGGCAGACTCACATTGTGGTTATTTGTGTAGATTCTGTTTGTTCCATGTCCTTCACGATTGTGAGCTCTTCAAGAACTAGACTGCAGAGCCCAGCATAGTGCCTTCATATATTCATTCAACAGACACTTTTTGAGAAACTATCATAAGCCAGGTTCAGGTACAGATTTTTAAAAAGACTTTATTTTTAGGATCTTACTATAATACCATACCATGTCATTATGTAATGAATGTCCTGAGTTATTGTGGGAGCCCAAAGAAGGAAGTGTCTAACTCAATCTGGGGGAGACAGAAAAACAACCGTGGAGAAGATGCCCATTGACCTGGGTTGACCTGGGTCTGTTACATGAAGAAGAGAAAGATGAACCTCAGGTAGAGGGAATGATTTTACAAAGACACAGATAGAAAAACTGGCTCGATAATTTCTAACATTATATTTTATATTTTTATAACCCTTACCTTTTATTTAAAAAAGATATTTTTTATTTCAGAGAGGAAGGGAGAGGGAGTGAGAGATAGAGACATCAATGATGAGAGAGAATCATTGATTGGCTGCCTCCTGCACGCCCCACACTGGGGATCGAGCCTGCAACCCGGGCATGTGCCTTGACTGGGAATCGAACCATGACCTCCTGGTTCATAGCTCGAAGCTCAATCACTGCGCTGCACCAGTGGGGCACAACCCTTACCTTTTAGAATCAATTTCCCTTTTACTGTGGAAAAATATGTTCAGGGTGAGTGACTCTAGAGCAGCAGTTCTCAACCTGTGGGTCGTGACCCCTTTGGTGGTTGAACGACCCTTTCACAGGGGTCACCTAAGACCATCCTGCATATCAGATATTTACATTACGATTCATAACAGTAGCAACATTATAGTTATGAAATAGCAACGAAAATAATTTTATGTCTGGGTCACAACATGAGGAACTGTATTTAAAGGGCCAGAACATTGAGAACCACTGCTCTAGAGCCATTTTTACAGGGCTAGCAAATAGTGTTTTGAAATTGAGTCTGTCTTTTCTAGCAAGAATTCTGTAGTGTTTGCAACATAGAGTGCATGGAGGAGGTAAGGAGATAATAAGACTAGGGATGGAAATTGTGACTAGAAACTGAGGGCTGAGAAAGGAATTTGGATTTTATCTTGTAGGCGTCTGGGAGTTTGTGGAAGCTGTGAAGCAGGAGAGTGATGTGGTTTTTGTGTTAGAAAGGTGGTCCTGGTCATGGCAAAGAAGAGGAGATGGCATTAGAGAGTAATGTGAGATTCGTCAGGTGGTTGTGAAAATTCAGGCAAGATGTGAGGGGGTTCTGGACTAGGTAAGAATGCCAGAGATACAGTGGAGGGGCTAGATTCAAGACAATTCTGAAGGAGGATGCACAGGAACTGCAAATGAAAGAGAGAGAGAGAGAGAGAGAGAGAGAGAGAGAGAGAGAAGTGAGAAGTGAGGAAGAGAGAGAACATTTACATAGTAGGTGCTCAGCCAATGTTGAGTTAGTAAAATAATGTTGAAAATATTCATCCATCTGCCCATCCATCATCCATCCATCATCCTTCCATTTTCTGCTTTATTTCCCAAAGGATTTTAGAAAGCTTAGATTGAGCCTTCATTTAATGATTTTAAAACCTAAGCATTCACAATGGCTTTGAAGTCAAACATTAAACATGCATAATTATTTCCCATACTCCTGTGGGGAGAAATAGAGGGCAAATCTGAGAGCTCAGAGACAGTTGCGAAGGATCTGAGAGCTCAGAGACAGTTCCTTCAGTGAGTCTGCAGTGCAAAGGTGAGCCACGTGCAAAAACCCAACTTGACCCTCTCAAAGCTCAGAACCCAACTTGACCCTCTCAAAGCTCAGGTCAATGAACCACAAAGTAAAGCTAGACTTGGTCCCATAGGAGCAAGGCCCAAGGGTTCACTCTGTCAATTAGAAAGATGCGCAACCGAGAAGACAGTTTGCTTGAACTAGAGTCTGCAGTTGTGAAAAGGGGAGAAAGATTAAAAAAGAAGGGACAAAGGGAGAGACAATGAATACAGTATGCAAAGTTCCTGCTGGGAGCCAAAGGAACTTTTAAGAGTCCTTGCCTGGAAAAATAGAAAAGGTAATAGTAAACGCTACCATCTCCAGGGACCAACCACATGAGAAAGTCCAGACAAAGAGACTGAGGTAAAAGAGCAGAGGATGTGGAATCTTTCTGGGCAATCACATCCCCTTCATCCGTTTCCCCGACTTGGATTGCAGTCGCGCTCAGAGCCCAGTTTTTGTCGGATTCTTTGACTTGGGCTGCAGGAGGCACATGTTGGAGTCAGCACGGACTGTGCTGGGATAGTGCTGGGATAATGGGTCCGACAGGAACATGGCCCACATGACTGACTAATGGGAAATTCTACCACCTGCAGAGGCGATGCCCGTAGGCCCTACACTCTGCCCTTCCTAAAACCAGGGATGAGGCTGGAGATTTCTTTAAGTGGAAAATAAAATGCAGTTAACATCTCAGCCGTTAATTTTCTGTATACAGAGGTTTGTCCAACTCACTAAGAGTATGTGGGCTGCTTTGATAATAAAATGATCAAAGGACTGAGAAAAATAGTTTGACATGCTCAGTCCAGTCACTTCCTTCAATCATGATGGATAAAATGTAAATATTGATGCTGGCAAGGGAAAATTGGGTGTGTAATTACAGGTTAATATTAAGTTCATCATCCCTATTTTCTATTTGTTAATTTCATGAAGAATAGC